CTCTCTCTCTCTCTCACACACACACACACACACACACACACACACACACACACACACACACAGGGACACACATAAGCTACGGCTTAGGGAGTGGTACTTGGTTGATGTGACTGGATACACCGGGTCATGGCTGTATCAGCCTGTATGTGCYGTACTGATCATGCTGGGGKGSGGTGAAGTGGTTAAGTGCTCTCATCTTTCATCCCAGCTCACTTTGCTATGTGCTAAGCAATCTGAYTTTTCAATCAGCCGGTAYGATATTACGAAAACCCCAATATTTATACATTACCAAGCAAGTCCGATTAAGAAAGGAAGGGGGAACGAATCCCCCTTTCAATAAACAAGGAAAAGTAAAATGAAAGAGACTACGTGCAAGTATTTGCAGGTTCAATGCCYGGAGAGAGCGACTGAATTGCTATTTTCAGATATTGGATTTCGCACTCGGAGGCAATGATTAAGCAATGAGCTATCGAGTTTTTCGCCTGTTTTTTTCCCAAAGTGGGGGTGGACCCCTTTTTTTTTACCTTTCGTCTTCGAAGGGGGGGGCAGATGCACCAACCCCCTCCCGTCGTTCGCGGCCATCGGGGGCCCTGGAAAGCTCCAGTACGCCCGTGACCGGTCACCGTGACCGGCCAGTCACAGGAAAACAGTCCCGTGACTAGCCAGTCAAAACATAGYGACTGGTCACTGTGCCAGCACCAGCACCAACTCTTGGTGTGGAGGATATGCCGCCGGGCCGGATCGTGCCGAGGTGCATCTGCCAATGTGGTAAGTGAAAAGTGTCACTCGTATCTTGCCAGCTCGTGCATAACGATACCCGTGCTTTCGGCCCCTGTGAACACTGTGCTGAGTGTGCTCCTGCTAAATATAAGAGGAACTCAGGTCTCTGGCCATCGTCCGTACACGTAATGGTGAACCATTGTCACAGTGCTGTTTTTGTTTTCATTTCTTACCTCGCACGCTGTCCCTCTTTGTTTGCATATCTGAATTTGCATCATGTTGTAATATGAAGAATTTACTAATTTGATAAGCAGCAGCACTTGTCACTTGTATCTTGCCATATCCTGAGTGAAGATGCATCTTCAATCTGGAGCCAGCAAGATACAAGTGACAAGAATTACTTACCGCATTCATTATATATATTTCAATGAATCCGATGATGACGTTTGCAATCAGATCATCAAATGAAGCCGATGCATGAGATGACCACCACAGTTGCGACTTAAAATCATTTTGGCAAATTGGCACATCAATACATTTTCACAAATCCAACCATTTTGACGAAGTCYGCAACTCTCTATGCTTCCACACCTCGACCGGAACCATTACAAGAGTCTGGCTTTCCAGTCCATGCATTGCAAGAACGAAGCAGGAAGGCTCCCACCAGTGCCGCAATATTTGCAAATAGGAACACAGGCAGGTTCGCCAATCACCATCTAAGAAAGGTCCCCAAAGTTACAACTCCCATGGAGATCATGCAACGTCATTCATAAGAGTGTCCCATCCACCTGTCCCCCCTCCCCCGTCCCCCATCCCAGACTCCATTCAAGACGAGATCGCAGAGGGAACTGACGACAGATATCACACTAAACAACAATTGAAAGCTGGATCTTTATATTGCAGATTTGACAATGGAGCATATGCATTTCCTCTCCCACAGACTGTCAGTCAACTCGTCACTACACACAGCTCAGGAGAGAACTTGCATGATGGAACAGAGAACCATGCAAAAAACTTGAAAAAAGGATATGATACACCAGGGTCCACCCAAAGTAAAGTCTCCTACAGGCTCCAACAAGTGACGAGCGTCGAGCGTCAATCTACCCTACTACTTGCTTCTACTGCACCCCGGTGCAGCAGGCCAGTTCCGAACGCTCGTTTCGGGTCAGCAGCGGCAGCCACAAAACTATGCGGGCCTTGCCGGGCATATAAAAACCATAACTGTCATGCAAACAGTGATACCCTCAATCTAATTGAACATCGTGTAAGGCTCGCGTCTTTGCTAAGAAGTATCGTACACTTTGTACAGTAGATCTCCTGGAGGAAAACATCTCTCACTGAGATGATCCTGAGCCCACAACCACACATTGGAAAGGTGCCCTGCTTCGCRTTGAAGGCTATCAACCAGTATCAACTGAATTGTGAAATGGGATAAAAGGACTGCGCCCATACTCTAGAGTCTAAACSTCAGAAGTTTCAAAGCGAGCGTTGAACGATTTCAATTGTTACTTGCCGGTTTACATGACGTTTAGTTATTGACACTTATTGCCCTTGGTTGGTCTGATCTCAGCTCTCATCAATGACCGACCACATCATGCCAACTCGCAGACTGCACCCTGTCTACGAAAACAAAGACCGGGTAGACGAGAGAGAAGAGAGAAAAGACTCACCATTTTGTCACAGAGAGTCAGAGACTGCTAAACACAGAAATATATGCTACCACTATGCTGTTAGAAAGATTACAGGTGTGAAACCAGTTGGATTGCCTCCCTGGTTTGCCCCTCCTCCTGGGAGATCATCCTCTCCACGAGCCTCCCGATTAATGCCACAGTTTCCACTCTAGACTAAGTTCATATTGCATAGATGGCGTTCGCAATGACATAGCCAAATAAAGCCGAAGCATCACATGCCCAGCAGGCCCAGGCCGCCCAGCACTATGTGAAAGTGAGCCTAAAATCATTTTCGCAGATGAAAATAGTTTTCAGACCCAAATCCGATCACTTGACCAACGAGGTCCATGTGCATCTGCACTACAACCAAAACCATAGCAGTCTGGCCACAGACTCCGACTCTCTAGTCCATGCATTACAAGAATGCAYGCACCCAGAGTCCCAGACTATAAACGGTCGGATGAAATTTTTAAGAAAAAACAAAAAAGAAAAGAATGCATGCAGAGACTCCAGAGAGGCTCCATTTCCAGTCACTGCATTACAAAAATGCATCCAGGGAGGCTCCACCCTATTCATGTTTGGAACAGTGCCGCAAATAGAAAGAGGATCCCCAACCAGTGGCCACCACAGTCTAAGAAAAGAAAAGATCTTCACAGTTTCATAACTGAAGATCCTGTCACGGACGTCACTGTAGTACATATGTCAAAACTACCAACCTTTGCTGACTTCACCCAGCAAACAGAATGCCCGGTCATTATAGCTGCAATGGTCTGTCTTTCGGCAACTTCCAGTCCAGATGCGGCGAATCGCCAGCGATAATGATGGGGCGTTGAAGGCGTTCTATTCGGGTGAGGACGTCATACGGTACAACCGTACGCAGGTAGTACGCAGCTTCGTCACTGAGGCCATCTCAAATTCTCTCAATCGCGCCTTGCTCAGGAACCACTGATTCAACGCATCCGTTCCACCTCTCCATCTCCCATACGCTGTCCCCTCAGCATACTAGGTTCAATCAGCCACTAAGTTTCTTCCACCTCTGTTCTGCCTGCTTCTCCTAGTATCTCCCGGTGATGTGGCCTCATAGCACGTCTGGAACCTTGGGAACCCAGTCTCCAGGGTCCATTCATTGCCCGTGATCACCTGACAGGCTGACACAGGCTGCTGACAGCGAAATGTCGCCRCWTTTSCTTCGCACGTTGAGGACTTGCATGCCGGTGCTGACCCTCGCAACAACCCAATACATACCGACCTGCTAGTCCAGTCGGCGGTCGTTACCGCCATCATACTAGATTCCAAATTGAGGCCTTATTCCTCTCCCCCCCCCCCAACTAAAAGTTGAAGATTTTTGAAGCCTCAGCCACGGGTGAAGATTGACACTCACAAGCTTACCACACCACAACCGTCTTGCCCCCAAAGATACAAATATCTGTTGTATTCCAGTTTTTGAGAAACCTTTGTGACTCGTTGGATTCTATTATTCTCAGGCTGTCTGTGCGAATTGAACACGTGTTGTATTTGAAAAGAAAGCGACATACGTGTCGTATTCATGTAGAGTGACATCCTTTGGCGCTGTACCAAGTACTGCCGACTATCACGATCTTTAACCCTTGGTTAAACATATAATTGGGAATTGTGTCAGCATCAAAACTAACAACATACAAACTGGATTTGAGAGGAGGAAGTCATATTACCTTTATTGGTTACAATTCTCCTTTGCTGTTTCCAGCCTATCTCATCCTATGCAAAAGGCTTAGCTCAGTGCCCAGTGCTCACAACTTCACAAGTATTTTCGTCGCCTTATGTCCTTGGCGTGTGGATTTCACCGCAATACAACACAAACCTTAATGGTGATCCTCGTAGTACTCTTTTTTTTCTTTTTTTCCTCTTCCGTTCTCTTTTTTCCCTTGGGGTTTGCATCTTCATGTGCTGCATTTCAGTTGACCTCCATGCCTCTTTGGCATTATGTCCATCCACCTCTTTTCGTATTCACAAACCAAACCTTATCGCGCCAAACACAATCAGGAATCAGGATTATTTGTAGCCATTGGCCGCACTAGCTGACCTTTGGGATCACTAGCTGACCTTTGGGAGACTTTTCCGGTACTTGAGCCCTCGACACCGATCGCTATCGAGGTACTTGTCTGGCCAAAGCCAGTGATTCTAAGAGGAGGAGAGGATCAATTCTGCAACTGGGAGCTCAAATTGTACACTCTGAAAGACGAGTGCATGCATTGAACTTGAGTGGCACGATGAAGTGGCTTTCAAGACAAAGAATGCCAGCATTTTGAGAGGGTGAGTGGCTGGCTTGCAGTAGCTTAGGCTGTCTAACACAGTCCTCCCAAAGAAGTCTCCGCCATTTTGTCGACGGTTAGGGTCCATTCCCTTCTGGAGTATGGATTCCACGTTCGCAACACTGGTCCCATGAAATACMMACTCAACTGCTGGCCATGCCGCATTAACATCAGCAAGTACATTTGCAAAGGATTGAGTCAAGTCCTCGGTGGCCAAACCTGCAGAGAAGGCGACCATGATGGAGAACGAGAGTCAATATAATTCATCATTTCTTCTCAGGTGCAGCCAGGCCAGAGGGCACAGTCAGACTGAGTCAGTCTGTCAAAGACACATAATGATGTCCCTGAGGAGAGATATGGGCAAAATTTAAGATGTTCCTGAGGATAGACTTTAAAGAGCACAATAACAAAAATAGCAGCACATGCACGTATGCGCGCACGGCCTGCACTTGCATGTATGKTATAAATTCATCCCTCTACATGCACCATGCCCCGTGACAGACCATGAGCTCACGGGTCTCCAGGCCCATGCCCTCCAASGAAAAAAAKGCGGGAGTCTTTTTGTTAGGATTCTAGGTRAAATCAGTTGAGGGCCCGCAAAATTGTCTAGCAACGAGTTTGAAATTCGTTTGGACTCTGAAGTACGATAAAGACAGGRAGAACAGATTGGGTGGGGACCCAGGGCCATTTTTTTTTCTGTGCTCGTAGTCTTGGCAGGCCCGCGTTAAAGATTCAACTTCCATGCAGCAGTTATCTGCCACCATCTTCCTTCTCCTTCCCCACCATTGACAGGGTCTGGAGCCACCATGAGTGCCGACCGGCGACCACCACGGTCCTCCTTCGCTCCAGGCGGGTCTCCACCTGCCCTCCTACCCTCCCTGCCAGTTCTTCTACTCTCCACCTGCTCCTCCTGATCTTCCCCCCTTCTCCTTCCCCCATCTTCCTCTGCCTCCTCCTCCGTTCTCCTCCTCGTACTACTACGGCCTTTTCCTCCTCCTAGCAACCTCATCCTCCTCGTCCATCTCTCCTCCTTGTCACCTCCTCCTCCTCCCATCTCTCCTCCTGCTCGTCTCCTTTTGTTGTTTTTTYGTAGAAACWTGGAAGTGGACACCAGTCACACCATCACTACCTCCTCCTCCACCGCCTCATCCTCGACACCTCTTCCTCCGTCTCTCGGCCTTGTAACCTCCTCCTCCTCCTCCTCCAGCTCTCCCCCTCATAACCTCCTCATCTTCCTCCTCCTCGACACCTC